TTCAAAGTGGTTCACTGGGTGGCCGTCGATTTGTATGCACTAACACATGGCTGCGGCCATCTTGTTTTGTAGAACGTGTCCAGTGGTGTTTGGTCGTCGAGTATATGGAACCATTTTCGGACACTCAACGGCCGAACACCACTGAGACTTCCAGGACCACTTAGTTTTGTCCCAATCCATCCGGAAGAGGCGGCGTCCAATGAAGACCAGCTCCCAAACAAAGAGGCACACGACTAACTTCTACACGAACAGTTATTCAAGACAATTTTTGACATTTTGAAGTTCACTAAAGAGACCGGCCACACAAGCTGATTTTATAGAACTATTCTGAGCAGGAGCCTTATGTGTGGTCGGTCAGAAATGAGACTTTCACACAAATCCCTAACCCCTGAACTGATCTGGGTGATTTGGGGATATAATGCTCACCCAGATCGGGGCTATCAGGGGATATACTTTTTATGGGGTAGTGATTTTGGGGTATTTCCAGAAAGTATTTAAAATGTGTTCTTTTTCAATTGGAGATAATTGAGTTGATACAGTAATTAACTCAATTATCTCCCAAACAGAGTGGAGGGATTGTATCCCATGTGTGGGAGTTCTTTAGATTGTAACTCTATTGTGATTGGTGTATACATTTGTGTCCTTGTCCCCAACAAGGTCCATGTGGGTGTCACCCTTGCAGGGGGACTTGCATAAAAGGCCAGTGTGGCTACCATTAAACCATTCCTGCTTAACCCTCAACACGTAGCCTCGTCTCATGATTGTAGGGAACCGCTATATAGCTATACCACTAGCTCTTGTGAGAGCTCCACAGCTTTATTGGATCCTTGGTAGGCTGAGATATCTGCAGCATTCTCCTACTAAGGGAAAAGGACTTCTCTGATGGCATATACCTCCTTACACTCATGGTGGCCGTTACACTTGGGGATTTCAATATTCAAATCCCAACTGCACTGATGCCTCTCGTCTACTCTCTGGAACCTCCTCCTTTGGCCTCATGCAATGGTCCAATTTAGCAACGCATATAGCGTGAAACACTCTTGATCTCGCCTTCACCAATCTCTGTACCACTTCTAATCTCTCCAGTATTCCTTTTTCTCTATCTGACCACCATTTGCTGACTTTTGACACTGGCAAACCTAAGACCCAACTGACACCACCGTCTGAACATCAATCTCACAGAAACCTCCAATGTCTTGACCTAGAGCATTTCTCCACTAATCTCCAAACTCTTCTTTTACCTATCTCAAACCTCAACTGCCTTAGCTCTGCAACCTCCTCCTACTGAACGCTGTTGGAGAAAGTCTCACTGTGTGTCTGACTTTTCCCAATATAAATTTATGCTGCGCTCATACAGCTTGGATCTTGCCACTGGGCATTGGAGAAGCCTGTTTGCCTGCCTCCTGACTATGGCCCCTGGGAGATTTGACCCTTTAAATACAGTATTTGGGCATATTGTATTTTATTATGCTGCTGCTGGCCCTTTAAGAACCATCTGGGGACATACTGTGGAGTTACTGGGTGGCCACCATTTCATGTATCAGAGGCACATGGTGAGAACAATGGATGAAGCACATGGTGAGAACAATGGATGGCGGCCATTTTAACTCACAGACACTGTTTGGACCTTTCTACACGGTGCCATCTCGCCAGTATTTGGTGCACGAAGACATTGTTCAGTAGTTTTAAACTATACAACAGGGGACACATTATACAGTAATTATTTTTCATATAGCCTGTATATGTTCTGCGGAATCTGCATCTTCCAAACTACAGAACGGATCTGGGTGAATTTTGGATATGTGGTTCACCCAGATCCCCATGTTTTGGGGTCCCTGTGATGTGTTTTATGATACTGTATTTCTCTGCCTGTGATAATTAGATTAACCATTGTGTTCAGTAATCATATCACAGGCAGAGGGGAGGATTTTGTGTGGGAGTGTCTGTGTGTATTGTACGGATTGATTGGTTGTATTTCAAAACCCTGTGGGCAGTACTATGTTTGTGGATTGTGAATAAAAGAGGCTGTATGTGCCAGTACAATCATTTCTGCTTGACCTCAAAATGAAGTGTTGTCTCGTTATCTGGGAAATTGTATTGTATGCTGATTGCCAGGAGTGTAAGCTGATTGTATGCTTTTCCTGATCAGCTGCTTACAGCATTCATATGCTTGAGAGCATTTGTATGCTTCTCCAGTTCGGTGGTTGTGGTGTCGGCTGCAGTGCTTGGAGTCCTCAGGAAGCGCTAGGAGCAGTGCCGGACTGGAGATACAAAGCAGCCCTGGAAAAAAAAAATTGTGCCAGCCCCATAAGTCACTGCGCCATATATTGTCGCGTGTAATATGTAAGGCTATGTCTTGCCAGGACAGATGATTGAGTAATATATATATATATATATATATATATACACATACATACATATATATATATATATATATATATATATATATATATATATATATACATACATACATACATACATATATATATATATATATATATATATATATATATATATATATATATATATTGCTTTTTCTAATATAAAATATTGGTCATTTCAGGGTAAAACGTTTAATTATACAGTAAGCATACTCACATGCAGACACAGGCAATTTCACTGACATTTCAATGACACACACAAGCTCATTGATACACAGCCTCATAGACAAACAAACAATCTTACTGATATACATCAGCTCATTGACATAAAAACACAAGTTCACTCACTAGCAGGCACACGCATTCAAGCAAGCTCACTCACTAGCAGACGCACACACACTGCTTAATGTGGTGGTACTGGTGTATATAGCATGTCCCTACAGGCTTTTCAACGTAAAAACTGACTTTTCAGACAAAAGGCAGTGTTTACATTGCTTCAAAGTGACACTGCTAGGGACAGTCACTCAGACGGTCACTAGAGGTGCTTCCTGTGTTAGTGCACCTACATTCAGGGCCTCCACACTCTGTAGGTGTTGAACGTTCCCCATAGAGATACATTGATTCAATGCATCTCTGTGAGGAGATGCTAATTGGAGTGGCGTTTTGCAGCCAATCCTATGGCAAAGCATTGGATTGGCTGAGATCATCAAGCTTGATGATCTCAGCTATAGAGGCAGGGCCAGTCGAGGGGAGACCAGCACGCTGCGTGGGGAAAAAAAAAGGTGAGCAAAAACACTATTTTTAAACACACATTTACACCATGACAGACACAGAAACACACATATACCATGACAGATACACACCCCATGACAGACACACACTCACACCATGACAGACCATGACACAGACAGACACACCCCATGATGGACAGACACACACCCACCCCATGACGGACAGACAGACACACACACCCCATGACGGACAGACAGACACACACACCCCATGACAGACAGACACACACACCCCCCATGAATGACAGACAGACACACACACACACCCCATGACGGACAGACAGACACACACACCATACAGTCAGACGCCATGACACAGACAGACACACACACACCATGACACAGACACACACACACCATACAGACAGACAGACACCATGACACAGACAGACACACACACACACACACCATACAGACAGACACACATGACACAGACAGACACATTACTTATACCTGCCAGGGGGAGGACTTCTGGGGGCCGCTTTGGGACTTGTCCTGGCGGCCGCTGGGAGAGCTGCGCTGGCTCTGCTCTCCCGCCTCGCGCACTGCTGAATGAGACCGGCGCCGGAATATGACATCATATTCCGGCGCCGGTCTCATTCAGCTGCGCGCTGTGTAGCAGAGCCAGTGCAGCTCCCCCAGCGGCCGCCAGAAGACCTCCCCAGCTGCCGACAGCAGACCCAGGTGTCTGCCCGGCCCCAGGAACTGACGGCCCACCGGGAAATTTCCCGGTATTCCGGTGAGCCAGTCCGGCCCTGGCAAGGAGCATCCTTCAACAGAGGTTCCCAGTCAGGGTGCCAGGTGATCCATTACACTCGCTACTGCCTTTTGCATCCAAGATCCTTGAAAGTCTCTGCTAGACTTGCTTCAGTCTGGTTTCCGCGCTAAGCATTCTGTGGAAACGGCACTGACCAAAGTATCCAATGATCTACTCGCTGCAATATTTTGTGGTCACTAATCTATCCTAATTCTCCATGACCTTTCTGCAGCTTTTGACACTGTTGATCATCAACAGCTTCTTCTCATCCTCCGCAATATCGGTCTACAAGATATTGCTCTCTCCTGGTGCTCCTCCTACTTCTCCCAGTGCTCTTTCAGTGTTTCTGTCTCTGACTCTGCTTCTTCTCCCCAACTCTTCTCTGTTGGTGTCCCCTACTGTTCTCCATCTATACTGCCTCCCTTGGTAGCTTTTTGACTTCCAATATCATGTATATGCGGATGACACGCAAATCTATCTGTCCTCTCCTAATCTCTCCCCATGCCTCTGGACTAGTGTCTCTGACTGCCTCGCTGCTATTTCTAACTGGACTTCTAACTGCTGATTTCCTTAAATTCAACTTGACCAAAACTGAAATTCTGATCTTTCCTCCCTCAAGTGTTGCTACTCCTGTGTCTGTCTCCCTCCAAGTCAACGGTTCTACCATCAGCTCCACCACACAGGATTGCTGCCTAGATGTTCTTTTTGACTCTGACCTCTCCTTCATGCCTCATGTTCAGTCTTTTGCCAAATCCTGATGCTTCCATCTAAAGAACATTGTACGCATCCGACCCTACTTAACGCCAGATGCGACTAAGGTGCTGGTCCATTCCACTGTCCTTTCTCGCCTTGACTACTGTAATCCACTTCTCAGTGGTCTTACGTGCTCCCAACCTGCGCCGTTACAGTCCATAATGAATGTGGCAGTGAGGCTCATATTCCTGTCCTACAGAAATCTGCTCAAGCTACTGGATGGATAATCCAGAGTAAAACTGGAAATGTAATACAATTCAAAATGTTTTCAAAGTCAAAAAATGCTGTGATGCAAAAAAGGTAGATAACGTGTGCCCCTACCTAGGCGTCAGAAACAATTCAAGAATTCAAATATGGCCAATTGGCTTTATTTGAATTCTTGAATTGTTTCTGACGCCTAGGTAAGGGCACACGTTATGTACCTTTTTGCATCACAGCATTTTTTGACTTTGAAAACATTTTGAATTGTATTACATTTCCAGTTTAACTCTGGCGTCTGGATTCTCCATCCAGTAGCTTGAGCAGATTTCTGTAGTCTCAAGTATATTCTGGAGTGTCCAATAAGGTGTTTTTCACTACAGGTTGAGTGGATGAGTCTGTTTCTGGACCAACCACCACTTGTAGAGTTTATTTTTTGGAAGATCATCTTCCTGTCCACCCGCACCTCCCACACCTCACCCTTCCATCAGTCCCTACATTGGCTTCCTGTAAGATATAGGGCTTAATTTAAAATTCTGATTCTTGCTTTTAAATCTCTACATTATGCTGCACCTGCCTTACGCTCTGCTGAAGACTTACATCTATCTTCTGTCTGTACTTCTACCTCTGCTGCACCGTTACTGTGGAACTCTTTTCCCTCCTCCGTTAGATTCTCACCCATTCTCCACTCCTTCAAAAAATCATTAAAAACCCACTTCCTCATAAAAGTGTATCAATTAAATCAACCCCTCTGTTCCTGTGTGTCCAACTTGTCTGGTTACAACTACATGTTTGTTCGTCCACCCACTGTAAAGCGCTGCGGAATTTGTTGGCGCTATATAAATAATATAATAATAATTATAAGTGCTCCACATTGTTAAGATATATTATTTCTGCTCTCTTTTTATAACTCTACAGTTGTATATATATTTATATATACACACACACACACACACATTTATTAAAATTCCCCTTCATACAGTTAAAATAATATATTTAAATAATCAATAATAGTAAATTTGCCCAGAATGAAGAGCGTGCTTAATGATCTCTGCAGTCAGTATGTGTAGATGTCTTTTAATTGCCAATCAAAAACTGTAATATGTCAGGTTAAATGATTGCCTTGTTGTATCCATCTTTCCAACAGGTTCCTTAATAGCATTACAAATAAAACAGTGGGACATTTGTTCTTTCACATCTACCACATGTATAAAAAAAGTTTCACTTAACCTGTTGTACAGTTAATAAAAATCACTATGTTGTGAACTTAAAATGTATGTGTTAATAAAAGCAGAAGTGTATATGTACAAAAACATAACTACTTAGTTACTCCTTGGTATTTGCAGCTTGAAAGCTAAACTTTAAGTATGCATAGGTTCATGAGATATAATTGTAGTTATGCTAAAATGTCAGTTTAGAGATACATAAAAGTTTAAGATCCTGCGCTGCCTGAACCGACCCTTTTGCCTGTAAGACTTTGTCTCTGCCTTATCCTTATCTGTACTTCATTTTAAACAACCAAAGTCTGTAACTGCATATTGGGCTCTATCTACTGAACTGTGACAGAAATACTGAGCTTGCTCTCACAAGACAAGTAACCCAGCTTACGCAAGTGGTCCAAGAACTTCAGGCCCAGGCATCTGCAAACCAAATGTCCATGCAACAAGCTCAAACTTCTGCTCATCTTATTCCGCTTCCTGACGATGCAGTCACTTCTCATGGGGATATTCTGGGGTTCGTACCAAGTACAGAACCTTCATCATGGCATGTGAGCTCATGTTTAATCTGAAACCACGTTCTTATCATTCAGAGTCTATCAGAATCAGTTCCATTATTACTCTCCTATCTGGCTCACCCCAAGAATAGGCTCACAATCTATTACACACCAATGATCCAGCCGTCCAGTCCTGGGAAGCATTCATCAGCACGATGTCCACCATGTATGATGATCCCAACAGACAAGACACTGCACAAACTGCTATTCAGGCCTTAAAACAAGGCCTCAGAACCATGGAAAAATACATGACAGAATTCAAATGGTATGCTACAGACATCTGTTGGAACAAAATCGGCCTGATAAACCAGTTCCGTATTGGTCAGTCTGATTCATTAAAAGATGATTTTGCTCGAGAAGGAGAGAGAAGGAGAGAGAAGGAGAGAGAAGGAGAGAGAAGGAGAGAGAAGGAGAGAGAAGGAGAGAGAAGGAGAGAGAAGGAGAGAGAAGGAGAGAGAAGGAGAGAGAAGGAGAGAGAAGGAGAGAGAAGGAGAGAGAAGGAGAGAGAAGGAGAGAGAAGGAGAGAGAAGGAGAGAGAAGGAGAGAGAAGGAGAGAGAAAGAGAGATCTGGAAAGCGCCAATGCCTACACAGGGACTCCTCGGTTTACTGCTACCATTCCTCAAACCATCACTGTTAATTACAGTTGAGCGAACCCGAACTGAAAAGTTCAGGTTCGTACCGGACATTAAGTTTTTTGGACCACGGACCCAAACATGGACATATTACTGTATGTTCGGGTTGGAGATCGGTGTTCGGCGATTTAATGACGTGTTTTGAAAGGCTGCAGGGCAGCCAATCAACAATCGTTTGACTCGTGTGCCCTTAGAAGCCATCACAGCCATGCCTACTAATGGCATGGCTGTGATTGGCCAGTGCAGCATGTGACCTAGCTAGTAGGGGTATGTCTATTAAACAGTGAGCAGCCAGCCTCCTGAGCCCCCACCCGTGACGCGGGTTGCCCCCCCAGCCCCCACCCCTGAGCAGTGGGTGCCAGGGGCCATAAAAAAAATTGGGGGGGGACCTAATGTCCTCCCCCCCCAACCCCCGCGCGATGGGTGGGTGCCCTAAATAAAAATTGAGGGGGACCTACTGTCCTCCCCCAGGCCCCCACCCCTGAGCGATGGGTGGGGGCCATAAATAAAAATTGGGGGGACCTAATGTCCTCCCCCCTGGCCTCCACCCCTGAGCGGTGGGTGGGAGCCATAAATAAACCCCACCCCCAGGTGACTAGGGGTCCCCAAAACCCTAGTCACCCCCCTCCCCCACAAAAAAAAAATACCCCAACCTACCCCCTCACCCTAAAAATAATGAGGGGGGGACCATTAGCTAAGTACCTGTAAAAAAAATAAAACTTACTATTTGATGTTGTCTAAAATCTTATTTTTTCAGCCCCAAAAAAGGGCAAATAAAAATCCAGAATAACCGACGCACTTTAAAGACTGAGCTCTGCAGGTCAGGGTAAGGCTTATAAAGCCTTGCCCCGCCCTGCAATTAGGCTCAAAGCGCTCTGATTGGTGGGTTTAAGCCATCCAATCAGAGTGCTCTGACAGGTTAATGAAGAGACTGACAGGTAAGTCTCTACATTTACCTGTCACAGCATTCTGATTGGTTGGCTTGAAATCCTCCAATCAGAGTGCTCTGTTTCATTTTACACAGCGTTGGAAAGTTCTTTGGAAGAGAAAATTACGGTAAGTATGGAACAATTTTCAATTTTCCTGACCATTATTCATGGCAGCATTTACTCATGGGGAATACCCAAGCAAAATATATATATATATATATATATATATACACATACATACATACACACATACACACACACACACACACACATATATACATACATACATACATACATACATACATACATACATACAGAATTCAAAAAACAGCTAATAGCTATAAAACCATTATTGAGCTGTATAAATCTTAGAAGACTTTACAAAGCCAAACAAGAATAAATATGAAATTGTCATAAAATCTAGCTCAGACAAGATAATTTTCCCTAGAGGCTGCAAGGTCAGCAACCTTCTGGCATTCAATATCTGAAATATCCTGAATAAATATAAAATTAAATATAGAATTAAGGCCACGATAGCATAAGCTAGAGAAGGAAAATGTCATTCTGGTATAAAAATTTAAAACCAAATTGATATCAATAAATCATAACCTTGACGAAGGCATAACTTCCAGAGATCATACTGGAACAAGCAGATAATGTTGGATGAGAACGGACACACCATGCTATTAAACACGGGGAAAATTACACTGAGAATCCTACTACTTACTGGATGTATTTATTAAATACGATTCACACTGCTTCCTCTTGCCTTGTGAACTACTTACCTGAAGATACAGGAACAAATTAATATCTGCCTGTCAGAAAGAGGCAGAGCCTAGTAGAGAAATAAGGGTTATTAAAACACTGCAACATTGACCCAATGTTGTAACATTCAGATTCACAACAATACCTCACACAGTGGATGAATTGATACAGCAACGATCAGTCACAGGAGAGGAATAAACTAATCACATTACTAGGCAAAGGCAAGAAGAATCATATACAGATTAGTTGAGGGAAAGAAAAGAAATATCAGTATGAAACATAGAATTTGTGGCAACTACTAAATTATAAGGAGGCCAACCACGTCAGAACCTACATTCAAAGATAAACATATTGTAAATAGTACAGATTATGCCAAACAGTATAATCAAATTTATTAGAGACTGTTGTGCAACATAAGTAAGAGATATATAATAGGCAAGATACTGATGGGAAGGTGGTAACCAGAGGCACATTATACATTGTGGCAACAGACACATAATAAGCAGGATAGTATTCAGTTATCCTTATGAGAACAGCAACCGCATACTAACTCTTACCTTATCTTCAGATAGTGATGAAGTACTTATGGCAGAGCCTATGGTGATAATAAACAGCTTGTTATATCTGCAAGATATCAACACCAATCCAAACATATAATCCACAAGTATTAAATCAATGCAATGTTAGGAGAGACCATAACTTATACCGATCTAAGTACAGAGACCCTGTAAAACATATCAGTCAAATGTTTGTCATCAGCAGGCTGCATTACATTACATTATGCAGGATGAATCAATCATTTAAAACCACACATTGGTTGCAAATTCTAGATATAAGGACACCTAGAAGAATCCCCATGAATATCAGAAGAGGTCCGTAATGGAACTACCTGTTTAGGGATTTCCTCTATTGTTCAGGCAGCAGGTGAATTTTACCTGAAATAGTAAACCTGGTAGAATGGTCTGGGGACTGGAAAGACCTTAAAATACTTGCAATACACAGCATCACAAGTTACCTGGAGCATGAGCCTAAAAGAATACCTTTATTGCAGAAAGGAAATTATAATGTTCCCCTTCACAACAGGGGAATCTGTCAGAAGTTTCTG